TATTATTACTATTATTATTATTACTATTATTATTATTATTGTTATTATTATTATTATTATCGTTGTTATAATTATTATCGTTGTTATAATCATTATTACAATGATTATTATTATAATCATTATTGTTATTAGCATCATTATTATTTTCATTATCATTATCCTTATTATTATGAGGAAGATGGATTTCTCTTCACCAAAACACTAACCCAGGCCCCAAGATGCAATTTCTTTTCAAGTGTACAATTAATTACAGATTTGTGGCGATCGAGCAGTTGGTTATAATTTTTCGGTGATTAGTTGTGAATCGTGTAAAGCGTTCTTTCGGCGAAATGCAAACAGAGAAAAGGTTTAACATTAACACTGATAGTGAATGATTGTACAGAACAGAGCACTGCTAAAGTTGTCAGCATTAAGCGTTCTATGTAATAACACACTTAATGTTCACAATTTTTATCTCATTCCTATCCTCTTCATGTTCACGCATACGCCCAATAAGTGTTTATGCGATATTGCAGTGCTGACCAGTCAGTCTAATAGTTTTGATGCATAAAAGCTTGATGTGATAATTTTTATTAACTTAAGCGCTTTTGGACAATGTGAGTAGGATGGTAACAAAGAGTTAATTCATCTAAGGAATTCGCCGTAAGCATTTCAACTAAGATGAATCGCTTATGATATGACAACCATACAAATCAGTATTACATGCAGTGCCATCTTTCAGCACTACCGTTTCGTCTTATTGACTGACAGTATTGCTAAATTAAGAAATGCTTTTTTATCAGTGCAAGAGCATTGTTTATTAAAGTCTTTTTCATTGATGCTTCATTCTTATATCAAAGCAAATCCTATGAAATTCTTCAGTTGTCAGGAACGGATCAAATGAACTCATTTGGAGATGAGTTGAATTGTTTCACACAGAAACTCATCATTTATTCCAGGAACTGAGTTGTCCTTTCACCAACACTTGCGAAATCAATACAATTTCACGGCGGTTTTGCCAGTCGTGTCGACTGAAAAAATGCATTGAAGTATGTTTTCTGATGAACTTAGCTGATATTCTTACTCGAGTATGCATAAAACGAAGATCTTTAAGCTGCAACGACCCACAATCGTTTTCGTCTTTGTTTTATGCCATCGGGCATTATTCTTAACATGGATTTCAGACGGTTCTTGTTAGAGACTATGTTGAAGTAATGACTGACTGATTAGCGTTAAGGTTGGGATGAAGAAGGAATGGATCATGATGGAAAAAAGTCGTCGTTCAAAAAAACGTCGTCTCACTTCGATACCAAATTCAGCGGACGATGTTAACAAAATATTTGAAGATATCGGTGAAAGCGAAGTAATGATAACAAAGGATGCACTTATTGATCTCATTAAAAAGTCAAACAATACCAGTTATGCTGCCTTTTTTTGATTGCGTGTTTTAAAACTGTTATTTCGCTTGATTTGCAAACCCTTTGATAACTGCTTTGATTTTCGAGTACGTCGAAGAAGGGACAAAAACTTCCTATTTCATTTGTTCAAATTTAAATCAACGGAAAAAAATGATCTTTAATTAAGATTAGAAAACGTCGACCCTTAGATTGAATTTTTCTGCGATAACCAATTTCATATTCGCTTTTGCTATCAACGACATTTCTAAATCGCCTCAGCAGTTCCATAAATCTGTTGATAGAGTTTTGGAAGTATTCTGTAACAAAACGCAGAACATGACCGATTAGTAGAATGCTGAGTTGACTCTACGATCTAATTATACCACTTTTAGTCGTCTCTCAGCATGTCAATGCAAATGTACATGTGGATTCTATCCACCAGACACTCCACTGACTGCAAACATTCAACTAATCTCTGAGCAGTCACTTCAGTCAACCACAACATTTAGTGGCATTCTTGATAACGCACTTACAACAGCAATAACTAATCAGCCTATAGATAGAACGGTCAGTCCTAATGATCAACAACAAACGGCTATCAATCTCAAACGATACGACTGTCCACGGTATGTGTTTACTAACATTAAGTAATTCAGCCATTTTACACAGACTTCTCTGGAAATATCGCGAAGTTCTGTTTTGCTTGACGTTGGTGATGGGTTTACAGTGCGAGGGAACTGTAACGGTAACTGTAAGGGAACTGTAACGTAATCATGACAAACGATGAAGCATTGTCTGCTCGGTGCTGATTCCATTAGCAGACTCTTCATGAAACAAGCAATATCATATTCATGATTTTCACTTATTCAACACAAACTTCTACAACGTTCATCCGCTCATTCATTTTGCCCACCGTAGAACTTTTTCAGGTCAACTACCGTGGCTCGGAATCAGTGTAACACTATAACAAGCGCTCCTTCATCACAAAGGTTGTTAATTGTGACAGTTCATCAACCGCATATTTTTAATTTCTATTAAACATTAACAACGTTACTTACCCCTATCCATCACGTCTCGTGGCATGATGAGGGCTATCAGCAAGTTTATTCTGAAATTCTTCGAATGAATACTGCTGAAATTTTCGGCGATAAATATTTGGCACACTTTTTGCAGTCATAACAGAATTGATTTTATGAAGAGCTAATTGCTTATGTTATTTGAGGTTGGAATGGAATCCCCTGAATTCATCATGCATCGTTTCTCCAACTCCATATGGTGCATTTTCATCCACCTCATCCTACGCATCGTCACAAGCATCAGTTTTCAATCCTTCACAATCTCCATTTCTTAATCCTAACACTACAACCATAAGCACCGAGTATGAACCGCTGTCTTGCTCAGGTTCGTTTGCAATCGCATTATCAAAAAATTCCAACAATTCATCTTGTTTCACAAGCTCTATTACATGTAAACTATTCTCACCTATTCTCGTTGTCGAAATTATCAACTGAGCATCGCTGTCATTCTCAAGCGCACGTCGTATCGACACGAAAATGGTTCCAGAAGCAAACAAGATTTTTGATTGAAGGAAGTGCAGCAATGATGAACCCGTCGAGCCGCACGCTACAACAAAATCCGAACGCAACCATACCGAATGTGCAGCCGGCGAATGTTTTCGTTACTTTGGATCAATACTCTCGTATCATCGACTCTACCAATAGAGGTGTTTGGGAATCTTACCTGTCGCACAATTTTTTATAGAGCCATGCTGATGCAATGAAACGAACATAGCATAGCTGTCCATCTTGACAGTAGATGGTTTATCTTTGCTGCAAAGCACTTTTGCATGTGAATCGCAGGAAGTATCATAACGAATAACTCGTGAAACATTGAAAAAAATTCATTCTGATGAGTGCGACATTTCATTTGACTTGAAAGCATACGTTTCATTGATGAACGTCGCCTCCATTGAGTTGAATTTTCGACAACAGTTTGTCATGAATGATGTTCTGCATCGTGGTTGTTAATTTCCTTTTCTCATTTACGAATACCCGATAATTGTGAGAAAATAACTAGTCATAATATTATATTCCAGCTGCTGAGACGCAGTCATCGATACTGACGTTACCGTTGGGTTTATCAGAGCGTGAACGTTTCTTAATGCAGGTATAACATTTTTGAATGGTATTTTAATTCGGTTAAGAAATTTGATGTGATTTCTGCCATGAGATAACCTTGAATGGTAACAAGATATTACAAAAGAAATAAATAACACAGCAGTATGTGTCTATAAAGAATTATGAATGGAATGAGCTGGGTTTTTTTCCTTTGCTGTGAAGTCTGACATCCACTAATCTTAAAACATTTTCCTGTAATTCGCCCAAAAAGTAAATCGATCAACCACACCTTTAAAATAATACTTTTTTTAAGGAGTTGATAATAGCAAACTCCATTCTTAAGCAGCCAGTTGACATGAGTTCAAAGCCAAGGACTACGGAAGAATTAACGTTGATGGATGTTGTTCGCATGACTGATTTAGCATTACGAAGGATAATTAATATGGCCAAGGAGATCTCATTTTTCAGGGAACTCTCACAAGATGATCAAATAGCACTGCTTAAAGGTATTGTAAAATATTTGAATTCATTTCTGCTTTCAGTGCGAAATAATATTTCATTTTATGTTTATTCGCATATTACATTTATACAGATGGAAACTTTCAATAATATTTACAATTTGGCGAATGTAATGCCAAGTTTTTAAAGAGGAGATAAAAATTAAAGGCAGAAAAAAGAGAAAGTAAACAAACAGAGCTGTAAAGAAAGAAACATTTATATTGTGATAATACCACACTTATTGTAATAATATTTGAAACAGTAAATTATACATGAACAGCGATTTAATGACTACAGTATTAAAATATAGTATACAGTAGTGAGGATAAAGAAAAAATGATCACAATATTACAAACAAAAAACAAAAATATGTTGGAAGGATAAAGTACGGCAAATAGAAAGAGGGGTTGAGAGCCTTGGTTTGGATGTGGAACCAATCGTATGTATTTGGAGAGAAGGAAGTCTTTTTTAAATGAGATCAAAGAAGAGGCATTAGTGATTTTTTAGGATAACTGTTTCCAAGAGGTGATAACTGTGTTTGAGAAAAGTACTTTAGACTGTTTAAATGACATCGCTTACTAACCATATTAAATTGATTTATGGTATGGATACAAGCAATGGTAATTAGGTGTCCCAGGCAGGACATATCAATCATATTACATAGAATATTATACACCATATAGAGTTCTCAGCAGCTGAAGGGTTTGTAAGGATAAGAATTGTGACTGTAGTCCTCTACTGTTTGGAAGATGGAAACAATAAACTCTTCGAAATATCTTATAAGTGGACCGTCTTTAAACTGCATTTATCAAATTTATATATTGTTTGCCTCGATTCGTTGATCATGTATGAGAAGCACATTAGATTAACGTAAGGTTCACAAAATGAAATCAATAGAGACAGCTGAGAGCGCGAATTATGAGATTGGCAGTGATATTAGCCTTCTTAGCGATATTTAAAAGGTGTTCACAGAACATGATCTTAACGGTCGTAACATCCAAATCCTTGACGGTGGATACAGGAGTTTTGATTTTTTCACCCATTTAGAATAAATTGTTCTGTTTTTTTACTAAGGAATTGAAATAGATTTGTTCTGCTTGTAGGTAGAGGGAAAGTCTATTTTTTAGACCATGCATTCATGGACTGAAAAATTTATTTGAAGTGAGAACGTTGATATCGTGTGCAGAAAAGAAACAACTTGAATTAGAACGGACAAAAAAGAGGGATATCGTTAGCATTGAATAAAAATATGTAAGGATCCAAAACTGATCGTTGACGGACCTCGCTAGTGAAGTTGTAAGTGTGACTGTTGCTGGAAACCTGCCGCTAGGAAAGGTATTTGGATACCAAAGAAAACAAATCGTTTTATTTGGAAACCATTGAGCGTTCATATCCTTCATTCCGAAATTGCACTGTGAACAATTGTTTCTTGTTATAACACATTCACAATGGCTAATATGAAAAGAAGTTTGATTATGTAACTAATTATTTCAAGGTTCATGCAGTGAATTACTAATCCTTCGTGGAGTGATGGCCTTCGATCCGACCAAAGATGTTTGGAATCATAACGTCATTCAGGTATGCAGTTTGAAATCAACAACATTCTTCGAGTTAAATACTTTTCAGTTTTTCGAAGTTACAGCTTCGATACTTTTTGCAATTGAGGATATGAAATTTGTGGTCGTTGAAGAGCACTTGCAATTTCAGGGTTCATCTGGAATCGAGATTAAGCTCGACGTTTTGAAGAGGTCTAAAGAGTCACACCATTACGAAGAACACAAAAGGTTGGTTTTCCTTCAGTATTTTCAGTGTTACTATCACAATTAATTAATCTAAAAACAATCCCACAACATCGGAAATTATGCATTGGCAATACTTCTAATTTCAGATTTTTGACAACGTTTAGTGAGAAATGGCGTCGAAATGAGTGTGTTATGCTGTTATTGTGTGCAATAACACTCTTTTGTCCAGATCGCTGCAATTTAAAGAACCAAGACAGCATTCGTTCGAAACAACTTGAATATTACCAACTGCTCAAAACGTTCGTTTTGCACACTTGATTATGATTTTGAACCTGCACAGCAAACACCATCAATATCACGACAACTACAATATATAATGACCACAACAATGATAACAGTACGGATGATAATGATAATAATAATGATAATAATAATAATAATAATAATAATAGTAATGATAATAATAATAGTAAAAATAATAATAATAATAATAAATAATGATAATAATAATAATTAATAATAATTAATAATAATAATAATTAATAATAATAATAATTAATAATAATAACTAATAATAATAATTAATAATAATAATAATAATTAATAATAATAACTGCTTTATTTACAGTATTAAAAATGTGTTGCTGGCTTTCATTCCCATGCAATCACTACGAGAAAAACTGATTCCAAATGGCCAAATAAATACCCAAACCAATTTGCACAAATGATAAAGCTTTATAAAATGATAATCAAGAAGTGATTAAAATCAAATTTGACTGCATTTTATCGTCACTACATAAAGTTATATAAAGCGATAAGCATCTGAGATTGAAGTAGTCGTTTGACGTAGTCATATTATTAAATTTCCATGCTCGTCTATATTATCGTCAGCAATCAAATCAACTGAACGCTAACATACTTCATCCATGCATTCATCCACCCCGCACCCATTCCTTCATTCATACGCAAAATGATTGCTTTCATATTTGCGACGCGACTCAGTCATTGGCTGTTATCTCGAGCAAAATTCCTTTTTTTTTTCTCATGAACAAATATGCTTCATTCAACTCTGAATCGTTCAGATATTTGAATCTACTGTGTTCACCGATCGAAGCTCAACAAACTTACGATATGCTTTTAAGGAAGTTAATTGATCTTCATCAACTGAATCAAAGTCTTTTGCGAATATATTATGGACTAAACACCAAAGAAGTCGATCCTCTCCTACTTGAATTATTTGATTTGGCGCAGCATAGACAATGATTATTGTTTCATAAATTGTATTGAGTATTTTGAAATAATTCAACGAATATGCAGTCGTATTGAAATTAGTTCATAGTCATGAAGTGAACTAATGATCATTTTTTGGTGTTGTTCTTACTGTTATTCATATTACTGTAGTGAAGTAATATATTCTGCAATGCTCTATACCAGCCAACGGCAAGTAAGTTTTGCCTCGGACCAAAACTTTTCGAAGCAATTGACTAGCAGACCAACGTACACTATATGAAGAGAAAATCTATAGTCGTCTATTAGGAAATTATATGTCGAAAATTTTCAGTGTAATTTAACTAAGTAATTTAAAACTTTTTTCTTTTCTTTTTTAATCCCTTTAAAATAAAATTCACAATTCCATCTGGCGGGCCAAGTATTGTTGAAAACGGGCCAATTCTGGCCTGCGGGCCGTGGGTTGCCGATGGCTGCTTTGTACTATATGAGTTATTCATTTGGTCAAACATCTGTGCAATTAATGTCCCGAATGATGAATAAAGCGATTATTGTCCAAGTAGATTTGCGTTGAGTTCTTCTCATATTATTGTGTTACAGCTCTTCTCTATGATCCATCAAACTTCAGCAACCACACTTCACCATCACACCTCTTCTTTCATTCATAATTCACTTCTCGACAATGTTTTCATCCACCGAGATCTTCTCATTTTCTCTGCCAACCTTTACTGAACCTACAAACGTAATCCTCATCTCATCAACTAGTATCTTCGTTTATTGCGGTCTGTTGCTTGGAAGTTTAGAGATATGGAATATTATTTTATTTAATGCATTTCGAATTGATTGTTGTTCAGAGCATCATCGCAATATTAGGCATCTTCTTATAATGTTACTTTGAACGGACAGTGGCCAAGGACTCTTTCGTCACTATTGAATGTTATGTGATAATGACCAGTACAATGGAATTACGTCGTTTATTTGCTCTTACAATTAGTGTTCGTCGGGGAACGGGTCATCCGTCGGGGGCTGCGGGGACCCCGACGGTGGCCGCGGGGAGCGCCCCCCCCCCCTCCCCCACCGGGGTGATCCACTCCTCGACATTTTCTCGGGGAACCTCTTCGTCCACTTTCGCTCCCCGATGGGGAGAACGAGAAGCGCGAATAATCTACTGAAATGGCGAAATACCGCTACAACACTTCCAATATTGTCTTGTTATTTATTTTGAAATGTGAGTATAAGGAGTTTGGCTCAAATTCTGTTTGATCAAAGCAATTTGTTGTTTAAAGTCTTCAAGTAGCTGAATTTAGAATGCCCGATATGGAAGTTTTGGTTCAACTGTCATTTAAAAAAACAATGAACTATTGCTGGGGGGAAGTAAACGATGGCAAGTGACATTTTTTAAGGATATAATCATAGAGATCGGAAAACTTGTTAGGAATTATGGTTTCTTAAGTTTCCAACCTGTCGTTTATTTGAAAATTCATGATTTTGCACTCATATCAACTGAGTTATTGACCAAATCATTTTGAGTTATTTCGATATCAAAAGTTTGAATTCATTATCCAAGAAATCATTACAATTACTAAATCCGTCTGCTTATCAAACAGTTCAAAAATTCTCACTTCGTTCGATACTGTTTATGTTTTCGATAATTAGTGTTGAGGTATTGGATTATTGGATGCGTGAGTTATTGAGAAAGTGATACGATATTGGAGATAATAAGATAGGATAAAACTGATAAGATAGAGATGTAAATAAAATAAAACCAATGTTGTTGTTTTTACTTTATTGATCTTGATTCACGCTTGATTTTTTTTTCAATAAATATGATTTAGAACAGGTAACATTGTGCGGTTTTTGAATGGTAGTAGCATGTTATTTAAAGCTATGGATGAAACGAAATTTTCAAGAAACTACTAAAAAAAAGAAAAATCTTTAAAAAGTTGAAATTCTGTTAAAAAACTGAGCTGAAAAGCTCTCCGTCGAGGAACACGGAGATCGTTCACTCCGCGACGAGGTCTTCCCCCGGCAATTCGTTCCCCGACTTTTGAGAGGACTCCCCTCGTCCAGTTTTCTTTCCACGAGGATCACCCCGCCCAGTTCTCTTTCCACGGGGACCCCCGTCCGAAAAACTGCTCCCCGACAAACACTACTTACAATCGCTATTTTGTGTAATTGTTTTCGTTCGCTCATCTTGCATGCTGAACTTTTATTTCTTTCAAATGAATGGTATTATCATGAATTTGAAAGACGAATAGTTAGACTCTCAGCTGATCACTCATTTTTTGTTTTTGTCTTCAATTACTGTTGACAAACAGATCAGAATACGTGAACCTTAGTCTGACAATGACCGTATATGTTCAAGTTATAATCATACGTATTATCGATAATAAACTTAATATTAACTGTTCTCTGCATGTTGGTTCGCTCAAAACGAATCCAATCATGGACATTCAGTAACAGATACTCGACCAAACTGATGCACATATTGCCGCGAATATGTAGATGCACAAAGAATATTCCAACGAATTTTTTTGCTGGACGTGCAGCTTGTTAATGCTCATCAGTGTTATCTCTATTGATTTTCATTACATAATTTCTGCAGTTGCATTATTAAGTACCTCATCAACAGTCATGATATTTAGCATGCAGGTAATATTTTCATTATACTGTACTCCCTTTAAACACCTGATGATAATAACTGGATATCAGATCATCTGAAACAATAAAGCTTAATAGATGAACAAACCAAGATCGTTTGGAACCGATATTCGAACCGTTCTTAAGCCGGAAAACTGCGCGAAATATTTTATTCGTTTGAGTGCTTTTAGTTCAATCGGTCGAGTCAAACTAAAGAAACATCTTGTCAACGGAACATATAATCTGAGCCACAGAAATTCAAATACCTTTTTTTGCAATTTCCTGACCGAATAACTGCCTTACCGTTCAGTCTATGCAAATAGAGGATATTTGCAAATATTTGCTTCAGGATTGCTCCCGTTCAATTTGAAATAAATCCTAGAGGTTATGAAATTCTGTTGTTCCGATATTATAAGTCCATAATTTTCTATTTTATAATTTTCATCAATGCCTTAGTCGGTAATACTCGAAGTATTGATGATATCATGGGAAGCAGAAAATGGCTCGCATCCCAAATGTGCCGGAAATGAAACGAAAGCCCAGGATTTGGCGCAACTTATCATGCAAAATTACTCCAGGTGGTAACTCATGTTTTTTCTTAATATTCATGGTTTTCTTACTGGAAGTGTGTGCATTTTTGTTCAAAGTGAAGTTGAAGTGTGCCTAACGAAAATACATTTGTTTCTCATTACTCAAATGACATATAACATATTATTCGACGAGCTCTGATTCATATAGTGAATTCATTGCGTAACGCAGTATCTCATTTTCTAAAAAATTTGCACCATATTGTACTCAATTTCTGAAGATTGCAGAAATGCCTTACCCGATCCTACTCCAGTGAACGTAGTTGTCGAGATTACCATCCAGGACATATCCGATATATCTGCATTAACAGGAACATTCGTCATTGATTTTTGGATTAGTGCCATTTGGATGGATTCGAGGTAAAAGAGACTGATAACTATTCGATGGTGAATGAGCATAATTTGAAAGCAACCATTGCTATTAATCTGCGATTTTCTGACGGTTCGAATTGTCTGAGGATAAGTTCATGCAAACTGAAAATGTATCAGTGAATCTTGCCTTAGTTAATCCTTCGATATAAACATTGAGCAATGCTGTGAACGATGTTTGTGAACGACATTCAAAAATCACATCTCTGTTCAACGTTTTTCACTTGCTATCGTCCTCTCAGCAATCATTTGGTGCATTACTAAAATATAATATATTCCCAGTCGATATTGTTCGATTACAGGTTAAAATTTTTTCACCTCGATCCTTGCCGTCGAAATCTTTCTTTGGACCATGATATGGAACCGAAATTGTGGTCTCCAAACGTATGTGTTGTGAACTCAAAATCAACAAAAGTGCACGACTCACCAAAACCCAATATTTTGCTTATGGTATGCTTTGGATGAGTGGAGAAATGCTTGTATGTTATGATTCGTTCGGGAAATCTTTCAGGACATTGATTTGTTTTGATACGTTCATGAAGTATATTCATGTTCATGAAGACTCAATCACACCAATATTTTTCAGATATTCCCAAACGGTACTACTTGGCTCAATTATCGAATAAGATCCGAAGGTAAACAATCCTAACTTGAAGCTTATTTTATACTGAACTTCGAATCGTTTACCGTTTTGATAGCTTTTTCCATCGAATTCTAGGATATTAAGTACCTGCACACAATCTTGTTAATCAAGCAACTATTCTCTAATCTTTGACACCACAGTTTTGTCAAGCAACGAAACGTTTCTCGCACCCCAGTGAAACCGTTCAAGACTTCGACAGCTTTTAAATGCTGTTATGCCAAAAGTTGTACACGTTGTTTGATGTATTTCTTCTAATTTCTTTTGCCTTCAGCACCCTGTGAAATGGACCTTCGAAATTTTCCGTTGGATACAATACGATGTAATCTGATTCTTGAAAGTTACTCGTTTAATTCAGCTGAAGTGACATTGCAGTGGTTAACTTGGTCCCCAGTAAGCACTGCTAAAGATGACTTCAATCTACCCGATTTCAAAATGTCCAACATAACTTACGGAAAGGAAATGGAGGTGAAAATTTATCAGCTCTTTTCTTTGAAAAGTGACAGACGCAAGTTGTCAATTCAACAAATCGTCAGTCACCTCATGAGAAGTACAGTAAACATGATAACATACCGACAAGAGCATCCTTCACATACAACATTCAACCAGACCATCCATTTAAAAACTTATTCAGTTGCAAGCAATCATAACATGTACACGATTTGGAGATATTTCACATATTATTGGTTACAACAAACTCCCTTAAATATCTGAAGCAAACCACCCTATAAATAATAGAGCCAAAAGCACTTGCCAGGCATGCTTGTAACTGAAATCCATTGATAATATTTTCAGATGTATACAGCAGGGATTTGGCATCGGCTATTTGTAACCATACGTTTTGATCGTTTATACGGATTTTACATTCTTCAGGTTTACTCAGTTATTTTGCTAAAATGGTCAACTACTGTGTTTATAATTGAAAGCAAACGCTTGAGAGGCAGTTTTGTGAAATGCATTCAAATTGCAACAGTTATTTGTAACGTTTGGTTGAACCATCGGATTCATCTCAGAAAATTCTCTCAAGGTTGATTGAAAACATACGATAGATGATTGCAGATGTATTTGCCAACATATATAAGTGTATTTATATCATGGATTGCATTTTGGATGGATACAAGAGCTTTACCAGCAAGAATAACGCTCAGTGTTAGCTCGTTGATGGCGTTAACCTTCCAGGTGATGACTTCAGGTATTCGATAAGGAAAGTGGACAACTGTACAAATGAACAGTGTCAAAAATACTGCGAATAATACAGTATCAGATATAGGAACGAAAAGAAAATGTAAGAAAACGAATGACTAAAGGCGCGAAATGGGCTACTCATGAGAAACAGTTTTTACGTTAATTTAAAAGTTCAGCTGATGCACAGTCAAAGACTTGGACGTTCCGATATGAAATTTTAAGAGAGGAGGGTAAATTCAACCAGGTCGGACACGGAGACAACGGGAGGGAAGCAAAAAATTGACCGATTTTTATAGGCATAAATATATGATTACTTATTTTGGAGATAAACTTCGATGAGAGCAGCACCAGTGAAAAATTTTATCGTAACATAACAACTCGTTACAACGCAATTTAGCAACCTTTTCAATTTCCCATCAGTCCCCCCCCCTCCTGTTCCCCTTATTCCCTCTCCAAAAGATAATTTCCACGAGAGCTGCTAATTCAAAATATCATGTGTTTGGACATTATCCGTCATAAATCATGCTTTTTTCAGTTTGGCAATATCGCTCGATCGTTACCAAGAGTATGTAATCATTTTATCATTGGTCGGTAAATGAACCATCCATTTTAATGCATGTAAACTCAATGAAACGTAACTGAACGGAAACTGAAAAGAATTTACCAAAACTGCTTTAAATTCAGTGATGATAAAACTTTCTTGGTATCCCATATGACTAGTCATGAATGCATTGTGTTTACCAGTGGTGGGCACGAGCGTGCTAATCGCTAATCCGCTACTTGTGGAAGGCAACAAATTTGAGTATCTCAGTATTTACTCGTAAAAACACTATTGTTGGCTACGGCAGTCATCCTAACTGCCGTAATTTACAGAGAATTTCACTTCCCTGCTCATAATTGTCTTTAGACGAAAACAAGCATAAAATAGCATATAGTTTTCATTATCTCTAACAAGAATTACTGCTAGCCTCATCGGAACCGGCTTCATTTTTATCACATTGGAAGCTGACCAGATAGCTCTTCATCTGGCCTTTGATACCACTTAATATCGCCATTCACTGATATCCACAGTTCATGATTGTCATTATGAGTTCATTTTGGGACTGGTTCGCAATCACTGTCATATTTATCTCCGATCTGAATTCACTGAAAAGTAGTTTTCAACTTCCGAAAACTGCTGGTCTCCACGATCCGACTTTCCGCTGTCTTTAAGAAACATTGTTAATGGAATGTGCATTTAATCATATCGAACAACAATGATTTCCTGCCACAGTTCAGACTATTTGTACGCTTTCATAACATCACCATAACACAGTGGAACGAAGAGGTATTCGGAGCCGCAGTACACTTCTATCGCTGGGTTAATTTGGCCCAAATACTTAGTGTATAAATGCGTGACGAGTATTTACAGAGTGTTTTCGATGGAAATTGTTTTTTCACCGCTTTCTTCTCAAAAAATAGCCTAAAGCCACAAAATATAAGGCTAAAATAATAACAACCTGCACGATTTCTTGATTGGCAAATGCTAAAAATGGGTCAAATTCACATCGCACAAGGCTTAAAATTTATATTTGCATTCTATCACTGATAAGTGCTGAATCCGAACTTACCGTGATCATACTAGTCCTAAAGGTTAGAATTTGAATATTCAGTCATACCTCAAATGCTTACACCACTAGCATTCTGTAAGAGCTCACTAATTTAAATCAATCACGTGGCAGTGCACTGAAGTTTTCTTTATTTCTGTTTTCGCTACGAAAGGACAGAATAAGAGTCAAATGAACCAGACTCTCAGATAACATGCTCAGTTTTCCTGACAGGGAATGAGAGTGCGGTATGGGCTGCTGCTGATTTCATCTTCGAACTTTGTTGTCGCCATTTGGTTATTTCCTTATTGTTGAATTTTGTTTTTATCAATGACTAGTTTTCATTATTGAGAACATTTCTTGTTGCCGAATTGAACTGTATACTGGCATATTGAGGGAATATTTGAAAATAGCAATAGGTGAACTAATTTTGCTGAGTAGCGTTTTCGCGAAAACTGTCGCTATTTTTTTTTTTCAATCAGCGTCACTTTGAGCGAAAAATTCTCACCAATTTTTTGTCAGTGGCGTTCTTGGTGCAAAAATATTTTCATAAGTGAATTGATGAATAACAGAGATAATGTATGTGCCCATCACTGGTGCTTACCGAGCATTTTGAAACAACCTTCTTCAACGTCTATTGCATGCAAAATGTCGTGTTGCATTCACGAAAACGTATACTGAATCAATTATTTTGCAGGCAAGTTATGTGAAGGCAATCGACACGTGGATGTTCAGTTGTGTTGGGTGAGTTTCATTTGGAATAATAATCCGTTTGTTCCTACTGAGCATAATATAACGAACGATTGTTCACGAATGTACGCTTTCAAACGTTCGTTCACTTGTTTTTGAATGTACGCTGCTGCTATTTTTCAAAGAGTTAGCCGCCAATTCAATACCGATACAGAATATTGCATGAAAAAAAAAAACTGGACTAAATGCTAATGATGGGAAATATCTGCTGAAGTGCGTCATTTGCAACACGCTTTCGTGAATGTAACTGGTGGGATGAACAGGCTGAAATATTTTCTGGCTAATATTTAGGGCGCTAATTAATTGATGGGAAGAACAATGTGTTACGTGAAACGAATGGACATTATCAGTCGCTTAGAAAATTTTCAGGTTCATTTTCTTTTCATTAGTAGAACTAGCTATCGTCGCCTACAATGATAAAATGGAAGATCAAAAAGCACGCAGTCAGCGAATACCACATGTGGGCAACATGCTAATGAAATTCGAACCAGCTTATGAATCGGACCAAAGGAGTTCAGTCAAATGGCGAGGACAGCTGTGGTATGTGAGATATTGTTGATATCATATTATGCTCCGATGTATAACAACGGCAGCATTACTTCGCTGAATTCGGACGTTTCGAATAAAAAACGGCATCAACGTGAGCTGCGATTAAAACGGATTGAATTTTGTGCAACATTTTTTTTCTTATGTAGTAACTGTTTAATGAATTTAGTGATCTAAATTACTCAGTTGAACACAAATCCAGAAGCAGTGAAACAGAGAAGGAAAGAAAGTAGAAAAGCTGCTGATCGCTCTGTAAAAGAAACAGATTGTCAGCGAGAATGAAGCTGATGCAATAGTATGCGGTGAAGCAACGAAAAAAATTTACGCGATAATTTAACTAAATTGGTTATGTGGCCAAGAGATGTGGTACACAGTCGCAGATGTGTGTGGAAGCATTTACGCAATGTATTCATTTTTACGCTGAATGAAGTATCTACATTTTAGTGAACCTACAACCATTACGCGCAATAAAAGTTGCACAACAGGAAAGCAAAATAAGAGAACGATACAGTCAATACGAATTCCTGAAAACGGCCAGATTGGAGGAGGACGTTTGACACTGAAAAGAAAGATCAGATATAAGAAATCCGAGCTGGGAAGTAAAATTGATCGTATCTCAAGCATAGCTTTCCCATCGGTTAGTGATTGATTGCATTAATGTGATTTTTTGTTTCCGAAAATTAACTTCGAAAAGGACTTGATGCGATGTCGCGTCCACTCTGTTAGAAACGTGAACGTGCTCAAAATTGTTTTTTCTTCCGCCAATATTTGCCCACCGTCCCCCTCACCACCTATTTGTTTCAGTGCCTATATGAATTACAGCCAATTCAGTGATTAAAATGATGAATTTCTATCTTCACTTACACACTAGGTTTTAATAAAACATCAAGTTGGAGTTAGGGAAACTAAGTTAAAAAACTGTCCGAGCGTTATAAGATGAATTCTGAAAAATAAAGCGATGAAAATATGATCCAGTTGCAGATGAATTTCATTACAGGCCTTCGCAGTTTTCAATGTTATCTACTGGACGTATTACTTCAACGCAACAAGTAAAACTAAATGATCTCTGATAAATGTGAATAAAATTTGTTTCAATGAGTGAATGCAAACACTTCAATTGATAGTCATTCGTCCACATTACCCGTACTCCTCTCACAGTCTCTTGGGTGTATTCTCGAGAAATGCTGAAAGATATGAAAACTTCCGCGAGAATATTACGAAATATTCAGCTAACAAAATAATAACGCGCTTGAATTGAAAACTCAATGCTTCCCAGCGAATTCGAGCCACCTGAAACTATGTGAAATTCATAAATTCGATTACATCGGTTCTCATCGGTTTCATGTATTGCGCGTCATCTCACTCACTTAATCCATTAATCGAGTGATGGACCGCGATTTGCAATGTCTTCTTTAATAAAAGTTTGTGGCCGATATTTCGAGTCACAAGCTATTCTCGAAGAAACGTGGAATATACAGTACTTTCCATCATCGCTGATACTGCTAACATCTGCACAGCCAAACATCAGCACCAATTGGAATAGGTCTCGGATCAAGCATGTGACATTTTCATCGCAGTCATATCAGTCTCCTATTGTCGTTTGTAGGCATTTAGAATATGCAAGGAAACTAAACAATGATCACATCACGCATATAATCACGAGTTTTGTTTGATTTGTTTACGGGAATCGTGAACCAAATCTGGCTTTACATAACTGTTCGATTGTATGTTACGGTTGCCGTTCAATTCTCTATTAGGAGATGATAATATGATCAACAACTGATTCATATCTTACAATTCAGTGCGTAAGTTTACTTTGCGTTTGCAGTACACCTATATTCACTTCGTATAAATACACATTTATAACATGAATTATCGAAATTCTAATCGAATTCGGCTGAGGCGATGATACGCTCGAATAAAAGTGTTCAACGTACTGCTCGCGCACGTAATCGTCAACAAAAATCAAACACCAAATTTCCTTTGCCGTACTCACCTCACAATTAGCGTCAGCGGTAAAACTGAGCACAACATCAGTGAAAGCGGAATGGAAGTGGTAGATTTTGCGCAAAGTAATGAGTGATCGAAACAAAATGAAACATGAAACGTACTATTGCCCATGATAAAATAATAAGAATCTAAATGTAGTACAGACAGCACCAAACTGATAACTGCTCCAGATGGACAGCGATTAATACTGAAACGAGTAGTCAGAATTGCGGAAAGTAGCAACTATTACCGACTAGATACATATGAAAAATATTTTTCTGGTAAAGAGAACAGTGCTGAAGAGCATATTGATAAACAATCCGTTCGAGTGAATGTAAGTGATGTTGAAAAGAATGGCACTTTGTTGAACACGACCAACAAAACGTTTCTACCGTTGTGAAATTAATCGCTTTCCCGATTTGCTTGATACTCGAACAAAGTGAAGAGAAGCAATGCAGAATAAAAGAAGTAATCATAAGCGATTATCAGTAACAAGAAGGCGACTTTTATTAGTAATAAAAGAGTAAGCAATTGTCAACACATCAGCAATGAACAAAACAATCATTTATCGTACGAACAAATATAAAACCGGCGGCTAAACAACAACGCACCAGAGCAGTAGCGACTCGTCTCGACAATAAACTCATTCAAAATGCAAAGCAAAACCAGGCCAGGCTAGAAGAAGCCAAGCTAGGCACCGCTTTTGCAATCTGTGCATCAAATAATTCGCAAAGTGTATATTGTTGTTATAATAGTAATAATGATAATAATAATAACAATAATAATTATGAATAGTATTACTTTTATTATCATTATCATGAATGAGCATTCCATAAACGTTCTTTATTAATTGATGACCAAATACGATTTACATGCAAACGCGCACTAAACAAAACAAAATAACCACTGCTCGTCTTATGTAACATTAAATTATCGACAAAAAACGGTAATATTACCGTTCACCATTTTATATATATATATATATTTATAGATATATGTATGACAACAGCAGCAATCAGCTTTATCACATGAGTAGAAAAGAGAAGGATACACAAGCAAGCCAAGTACGCTAAATAGAAACCGGTAAGTGCAATCGAGTGGCATCGCTCTGTACAACGGACCATCAGAGCTATCTATCGTTCCACCAGCAGTGTATACGAGAAGCATCTCATTATACACTTTGCACATATGCATCCAAATTCAATGAACTGATCTCAAATAGTTATTTTCCCTATTGAATACAAACCGCCGGTGCAAAGTTGAGCAACAAAAAAGCGCGTGGCAGTTCAAAATTCCCACATGACCACCAAAAGCCCACGTCGCGCGGTCATGTAGCCGCCAGAAATCGAACGCTGTAGGCGCTCGATGACTGCATTCGATAGTAGAAAGAAAGCCGAGCAGAATACATCATCATGTCTCAAAAAAAGAGGCATAAGCTCAAATAGATGAAGAAGGCTCAACAAAACGAGATTGAATTTGAGTGTGAATTACAGGAGTGAGAAAAAACGAAATTACAAGCCACAGAAAATAATGGTGTGCATCACTTGCTTCTGCTGCATCACTCATACAAGAAGTATGCTCTGATTGACCATGCAACTGTTGCTACTGTTTCGATTGACCATCGTCCATCCGACGAGCAGCTACCTATTGTTTCATTACCTTCACTGCTCAGTTTTCCATCCCATCCCGCACTGAAACCACTTCATAATTAAGCTCGTCACTATAACCGCAGACGCAATCAAACTTACAATTCATTTTGGTACTCTTCAAAGTCATAAATCTCTGAGCACATGATACGATGCTGTTTCAGGATATCGAGAATACCCCTCTTCTTAACTGATTATCAATAGGCGACTTTGTGAAGGCGAAAATTATGCAAAAATGAAAAGCTCATTTTTCAAAGTAGCATCGCGCGTTCAATGTGATAAGAGATTTTGTTCTCCTATAGTGCACACTACTTTCATAAGAAATCACCGATTAAAAATGTTTAATGCATTTTATCGCTATTTTAATGAATTTGTTCTTCGCGAAAAAATTGATGATCGGTACAGAGTCGATAAATTCGAATTCTACAGGCGCGATTGCATTGAGAAAGCATATTCGTTAAGTTGCTTAAAGAAACGAAACAACTCAAGTTACATTTACATACATCCATTTGACAGTTAAGGTGAACAAGCCATAAATAACCTACACTGTTGCTGCATAAGCACATGTGAATGTACTGTAGACTGTTGATTGTGAAGACGAGACGATGCTGACTGGAATGATTCAATTGGGGTGACTCCTACCGTCGACTGTTGCACCATTACATTTGGTGGTGGCTGATGCATCATCGGTGGTACGTTTGTTTTACTCCACAACTGAATTCACCTATTTTATGCACCAGACATCCCTTCATGAAATGAAAAAAATAAAGCAGCTTCACTTACCTCAGAATTACACATGCAAATGCTTAGTTATCAATAAATAGAACGGGAACTAAACACACCTCATACTATACATTGAAAACGCACTTTACAACAGTTCTCAACAAAAAGATAAAGTCGTTTGGGAATAATAACATAATAATAATAATGATACCTGTTTAGATGCGATAATCTGTGCCACCTGACTAACTATGTCGCACATCGGAATATTCTTTAGGGATGCACAATTGTTACGCATCATAAATTCATTCGCATATTCTTTCAGTGTTTCTCTGCAAATAATTTCACATGTTTTCATTTTCACCGAATGAAACTATTTTGAATTCCATTTTGATAAGTGATTGGCTCATCGACAACAATACTGAACATGCTCATGACAATGTACATTGAAAGGAATATGCAGAATCGCTCAAAATTAGAAATCTTACGGTGAAATTTGCGGAAAGTGCGTTCTCAGTGAATCGAACACAAGGTCTCTTCGAGGTGAAGAACTGCGACTGTTTTCCAAGATTGTACTCTAGAAATAAAGCAATACAACCAACCCTACTTAAAAATTCACTGAGCAGTGAAACAGTGAAATAACAAGCACGTTTCAACAAATAATAGCCTCACAAGAATTTTATTCGTTTAGTACCATTGACTAGTTGAGGAATAATTTTTAAAAAAGCCATCAGAATAACATGTGAAGGCATATTGCAATAATGTTGGAAAGATTAGTTTTAAAAAACTTCAGCAGCAAAGAAAGAACGTGCGTACCGCTACGTCAGGCGAACCACCAGGTTGTGGCGTTCGATAGCCAGCCCATCCACCAGCCCATTGCGGAGATTGATAACCGCCCGTCTGATGCAAACGACCGTACTGACCGGATACGATATTGCCGTTGTTCATACCGCCTAGAAATAGAAAAACATAACACCTCGCTTCATGCATATCATCACCCAGAAGCACTGAATAGAAATAATTCGACGCTACATAAACATACCAGAAATTGAGTTCGACCATTCTGTACCCGTGCTGCCCCACCCGTTCGATTGTGCATTTCCAAAATGTGCACCCGCATTAGCCAGTCCTGGTGGCGGCTGAGAGAGCTGAAAGAGAAGCACAGAATCTAGCAGACGATACGAACTTCAAAGAACCGATCATCACTTTTGTTATTAACATGATAAAATTGTACGGCTGTTATCAATCACGTCCAGTTTGACATTCCATAAATAATACTAAAAAATTGACGTTGTTAATATGGGTGGATCATCTTTACCTGACTTGAAGTTGGCTGAACGGTAGGATTAGTAATGCCATAATCGGTACCAATAGGGCCAAAGGATCGACTTGAATTGAGCAATTCATTGATCGAACTCATCGCCAACGGTCCTTCCCAAGCAGATCCCCATGTATTCGGTAATGAAATGCCAGTTCCCGAGGACGATGACGCTGTGCTTGTGGATGGCTGGCTAGCAGAGTTTAGACAAGACGTATTGGTTGGTGGTGTATTCACAACAGATGATGACGATGTCACTGCACTCGAAAAATCGACCGATCCGTTCATATGACTTGTCGGACGAACACCTGACATTCAATTTGCTATTATCATCCTTATTATCAACACATTTTTCAAGAACCATTTCTAAGCCTCTAATGGATTGATTGTATTCTACCTTTTATGACTGCTGCCGCATGAGTGCAAACAAACCGAAAACATTACAGCAACGAATCAAGAAACACCAAATGAATAAACAAGACAAAAGAGCACTGTTGCATGCATAGATCAGCTTTGCTGCGAAAGAATTTTAAATTTCGATATAACTCAGAAGTCAAACCCGAACACCGATTTATCTATTCGATTTGTGACACATTTTGAATAAACCATCATTAGTGAGCTGATTTTTTTAGAACTGCACGAGTTTTATGTTTTTTCTTGCTGGGCGAGAATGAAGAAGTTAAGACACACCAATAGGCGCAATAGTTGAGGTGGTGGTCATTGGAGACTTCATTGGGGACACAGTTGATGGAGGTGCTGGTGCCTTTGAGATTGACTGCACCGGCGAACCGGGCGCTACATTCCCTGTTTGCATGCTGGTGCCTGCGATCAATGGTCGGATAAAAACATATACATCGATCTCATTATTACAGATAGAGCTTGACAACGAATCAATCGCTAAATTGTTACGATACGCAAATAAACACTAACTAACCAATAATACCCCCTTGAGAGGAAGTGCTGCTGCGAGTCGTTTGGCCAATCACACCTGGTGATGGAACTGTCGAAGTGGATACCGCTTTCTCACTCGACGAAATTTGTGAAGGTTGATTGCTGTTACTATTGTTGTTGTTGCTGTTGCTGTTAGTGCTACTGCTACTGCCAACAAACTGATTGATTTTGAATGATTTTGGAGCTGGTGGAGGTTTCGCTACTGCAATTCTTGGTAACTGTGATAGCTGCTTACCACCTTTGATTTGATCAATCTGCAATAGAGATATAATCAGACAATAACGTCACACACCATTTTCTTGATAGCAACTGCATCGGGATACGTAACTGCATTGAAACATAAAAGAAAGAGGTAGATATATTATCAAAAAGTCGAATACAGATAGCAATCAACATCACTCTTACCTGTGTAGCGAATTCAGACTTTGAGGTTGCTATTAGCGCAGCTACCTCCTCTCGTTTTGCCTTCCATTCAGCGATCGATGTTTTCAACTCTTCCGAATGTGTTCCACTTCGCATCCTGATCAATCACATAAACATAAACATTCTCCAACTTTACAAATGAACCGTGTTCAAACCCACTATAAGAATGTGTGCTTTATTAATTCAAGTAAAAAACACTTACTTCTTCTGTTCCATCTCTAAATCTTTCACCCGCTGGCCTGCGTCTTTGTAGGCACGCTCTAAAACCATAACACCGGTCTCCAATTTCAATTCCAAATACATTATTTCGGCTTTCTTGGCTCGTTCAATTGCTGCATTGAGATTATTTTGGAACGTCTTTCTCTCCTAAAAATTGCGCCTGCATTAAAAAGCTAACTGCTAACTTCCTCAAGAACCTCGTTAAGTCGCGAAGGTCATAACAAATTAGATGAACTTGAAAATCGTTTACGGATATATCACTATTCACAAGTCCACAATTGTTTTAAAAATTAATACCGTGCTGAGCGTGTTCTCAGAACGCTTCAGTGCAAGCGACCGTTCACTGAGCTGATTCCTGAGTTCGGCTAACTCAGAGTCTCGACCTTTAATTTCATCAGCCATATTTTTGCGGGTGTCTTGACTTGACTGTAATTCTCTTTGCAGCTTACGGATCTCATCAGCATTCTTTTGACGCATCTCTTGTGACTCTTTCACCATATAATCCACTTTATCTTGTAATTCACGGAAACGTTCCGCGTCTCGCCTGATATTATTGTACATGTAAAGATGAAGAAATCACGTTCACAGAAAAGTTTTAAAATGTTCTTAAGCATTCAAGATTATTCATACGGCAATTTGCAAAAAGAAAACGAATTTGAGCAACAGAGGATGTCAACACAATGGACTATCATTACCAAGTTGCACGTTATTAAGGTGTAAGGTGAAATGAATCTGGAATAATGATTCATTCGAAATGGCATATTACACATAAGCTATCGTCTCCGTGACGGACCTTCCTCTGGGCATTTTTACGATTTCCGAAGTATGAACAGAAAAAACTTGCATACCACATGGCTAGAGACAGGAAAGTATTTAAAAATACAGAAATAATGAATAAAATAGCACGAACTCATGTTGCTTTAAGGTTTTTTCCTGCTTTTTCAATTCGTTTTTCTTTTGATTCAATTGCTGAACAGCTTTATCGTGTTTCTCTTTTTCGGTTTGCAGTTGTGACTGCAACTGCTTCATCGCACTCGTATGCTTTTGTTCACTTCTGAAAATTTTCGTTGTGAGAATCAATCTTCTGTGAGCGTAAACTTAAACCAATCCCAAGATATTTTATTAACCACTTTACCTCAACACTAGCAACAGCCGAGAGGCTGTCGAAGTATTCCTCAAATCTTGATAGTTTTAGGTGAGGAACCATCTAAGGACGTTCCTCTTGAGAGCATTTAATCACAATGAAATCAGTAGATGAATACGAACATGCAACCTACGTTGCGAACTGCATTCCATCTACATATGACATGTTTTAGAGGGATGAATCAATCGGTGAATTTATTAAATATTTCACTGCACCAACTTCTTCATTTTGTCTCTTTCGCTGCTCAACTGTCTCGACAGATTTTCCTTGTCGGACTCCAGCAACGTGATCCTCGCAGCAATTTTCTCGGTGTGTTCGCTCAACCTGAAGGAAACAATAGCAACTACTCATGAATTCGATAAGTAATCACGAATGATCAGATCAGTAAGATAAGACAACCAACTTTTCTGCTTGTCCCAATTCCATGAGTGGATTTTTGCTGACCGCTTGATCAGCGAACACACCAATACGCTGTACTTCTCGGTTGAGCATGTAATCGTGCGTATCATCTGGGCATTCCATTGATGACATCATTACACTCAAATGCTCTTCCTCTTCACCGAGCATACCACCCACACGCTCGTCCCCCGTACCGCTATCCAACGACGATTCTGTTGAACCCAATAGTTATTGTCAACAAACTTTTACTACAAACTTTCTTTTGAAATATTCATATAGGAACACAAAATTGATATGATATGAACCATTTTTGCGAGAATCTTTGGGAGCATCGATAGCCTTTTCGTCTCCGGCAAGTGACGCAAGCTTTTGCAAGCAGTCTCTGAGAAATGGACTCTTCGAACGTGTCTCGAGTGTATTGATAAATTCGGCTGCCTTATCGACTACTCGTTTCGCATTTACGCAATTCACTCCAATCACCGAAAGAGCAGCCATTACCTGCTGCACCTACAAGTCAAATAAATTATCCATCATTTTCAGAACCACAAAAATTTATTCAGAAATTAACTGCATGATGTCCGAATAGTATGTCCGATACTTAATTCGATTTTTGTTTTTTTCATAAATCAACATTTCATAAATCGCGGGCTATAAGCAATGTACAGAACAGAAATTTTCATTTTCATAAATACTTTCTTTTTGTCGACATATTGCAGCGACCAAAACAACTGACGGTTCAATTCCTACAACGTGATATATAAAGAATGACAAAACTGTTATTCTCATTGTAAATTCACTGCGACTAACAAAAATGTGATAAAGGAACAAATTGACGAACACCTCCAAAATAGAACAACAAACAAAAATACCTGAGCGTCGTTGAAATGAGGAATATTACCAGTGCTTAAGTCAATGCTTCCTTCTTCACCACCACCGCTCGAATTCTGCAATGAATCATAAACAATACAAATTTTAGATAATCACAAACACATTTACGCATTTATGCTTTCATCTTATCACAAGTTTCATCATCGACTGAATCTGAATAAGATAGTTACAAATTCATTCACGTCAACCCAAAAATCAACTAAGAAACACAACTCTTTGTGAATTATCACCTCTCCATTTTTCATATACTTCCAGCAATATTTGATGTTGAATTTAAGCCACTCTTCAATATACTGTCTTGACCAAACATTCGGCTGTGCAGCTTCCTCCAAGTAACGTTGAAGCTGAAATGTTAATGTAGATTCGAGAGAAAAGCATGAACATTAAAACTGATTTCATTTTGTGGGCATTCAATTTTTTGAAATGTATTTTTAAGCTCAACAAACACGTGAAGACAGAACAAACAAGATGAATTAATCATAAACGAACACAAGTTGCAGCTTCAAATTAAAAATCGGCTGAACAGACCACAAACTGGACAATGGTGTCATTGCTCAAAAATTATGTTTAAGCATTCATTGAATTTCTCACTCAGACTCACTGAACATCAATAATGAAGTGTTCATCTTGGAAAGCATCGTTCACATTCATTGCTTTCCATTCAAATCAGAATATTTCGGCTCAGTGAATAAAGCATAATACAGACATCTCAATGCATGATGATTACAACCTACATTAACGAGGGCAGAAAATCTCTGAGATTTTTAATGCAAAGGTCTGAGTGAAGACAAAATTTTGTAATGCAAAAAAACATAACCAAGTCTTTATTGGCAATTTCAACATTCTGAGCAACCAAACAAATTAGCCATTTGCTGAGAGAAATCCAACAGATCTCATTAAGTGACATTTTGTTCAAAGCCGCATACGTGCGAAACGTTTATATGCCAAAAACCTGACTAATCATCGAAAAATTCAAGTTAATGCACAATAATTGTGAGCACACACCACACAATCTGTCGTATTCTCGAAGCGGTTCCTTACGGCACAAACAACCATACATTCTATTTGAACTGAATAGAGCATCGTAAAATTTACAGACAGCTTCCAAAATGGCCGCAAATTTTGCATACAAGTACTGTACTGTTGCTGCATAATAATTATGATAGCATTTTATGATACAACCAGATGCTCCATCTGATAATACTTTCCATACTGATCAAACTGCTCGGGAAACAACCTGCACCATACACGTTTACGAAACTGAAGCGCAGAATGAAAAAATTCTCTCGTACGACAGATGTAAATTGCGATAGGACGTTCATAAGGATCAATTCTTTAGTATTCAAAACACACACACACACAAACGTTGCTTTCTAGATAAAAAACAACCAACGGCATATCATCATGTGTGCAATCGCGACGAAGCATACATAATAAGAAATCGCAAGAAGGAACATTCAGAAATTCATTTAAAAGTACAAAATTACATGTAAATTTTCGACCACGATACAAAACGGTCAAGCGATTAACGGATGGATGATTACGAATGAACAGATGAAACCGAGGATATATTTTGCTATGCTGGGATACGACGCATCAATGGCTCAACAGAGATAATAGCAGGCAGCAGTATCAATAGGATCAGTTCAACATCGGCCAAAAGCATCAACAAAATTGCAAAAACGAACCTGAGGGGATGGGAGGTCATCGCCAAAAATTTGTTGCGGTGACGGATGATATATTTGCGGTAGAGCTCCCATGAGCTGAAAACACCAAACGCATAGGCATAGGCAAGCGCATTTCTTATACAACTCATCCCCTCCCCCTACCCAACCCAGTTTTTGGATTTATCCATTTACGTCACATCAGAAAACAAACAAAAACAACTTCATTTGTGCTTCAAGGTCAAAAGAAGTATGTTAAACTATACTGTTCAACAAAGATACAAAGTGGAAAAGTTCCACTGGTAAAAGTGTCTAAGATAATAAGTGACCGAAGAAAATCCACTGCTCAAATGGAATCCAAACAATTTTAAACACCATGCGAACACTGAAGCAGTGCTTTAGATGCTACACTGACTGGCAAACAATAACACCTTATTCATTCTTCTCGTTCACATTCAAAATTCATACTAAGTTCAATAAGGCAAAACGAATGAAGAATACCGAATCATCTTTATCAATAAACATCTCAGGCAATCCGTCAATTTTGAATGTAATAATTATCATTGTAAATTTCAAGAGGTACACAATTTTAACAACGTAGCAAGAACAAATAAATCTGACAGTGAATAATAGATGCCTACCGTTGGATCTGGATTGGCAAAATGCGACGTAAAACGCGCGATTCCCTCCCTGGTCAGGTCGGGAGCATTTGATGGATCAGTATTGCTCTGAGGTACGATTCTCGCCTGTAACAATTTCAACTTAATTCAGCCATCTTTTCTAAAGAATACCCACAGTGAAATAAACATCCACAACAAGACCATTATCGGTACTTTTCATACTGTTGTTATCGTTATCATTGGAAAATATTATTTATTACGTATTCATTTAATCAGCAGAGATGACAAAATACAAACTTCATTCAACTGGGCAATCTCACTTAGCCTAGATCCCGTGAACCGACAAAATGAACACATCCACAACTAACAAATAAACGAAGCTGATCGATTAATTACCTCTTCTTGTTTTTTGTTCGATGAATCGACGTCCTTCAAGTCATTATTAATCTTTTTCTTACGCCACTCCGATTCTTCATATTTCGAATTATCCACTGAAAATAACAACGAACAATTGTGTGATTAGATTCTGCACTACACAATCTTCTAATTTATAATACAGATGCCAGAAAGAACTTGTCCTCTGATCACATATTACGAAGCTCTTCATTTGAATTAAGCGAACGGCTAACAACTTTTACATTTTCAATTTGATTTTCATCTCCCGAGAAGCTGACAAAATTTCACAAGTCACAAATAAAAAATGATCATAAATAACCAGAAATGGCTTACAAACCAAAGTCTAGCCAAACAATTCTTGTCTTTTATGCAATCATCTAGTGATTCAAAAGGTCGAAGAATGGGAGCCTTAAATAGAAGAGAATAAATAGGTGATACTTACTTGTATTAACATTTGCTTTTCTGGATGCTTGCTTTTTCGGCTGAGCGTATACTCTAGGTGGACTTGTGGTAATATTATTATTGCTGTTGGTGTTATTATTATTTGTATTGCCACCTCTTGCTGTTACTACAACTGGCTCATTCTTCTGTGTTGCATTTTCATTTACCAACGGAACTGCAACGAATTTCACAATTAGTGGACGTTTGCGAGAATTAGCTTTTCACTAATCAGTCACGCTGATCAAATTCAGTCACAAAATTTCCATCAACTCACAGCTATGAAGCTTAGATCAAAGTCTGTCACTCTGAATTCTCACATCTCTTTCAACATTTTGTGTTCGGAAAAGATTAACACAAATTTTAACAAAACTATCACGAAGCAAGTATCATCAAAAGGCATAACAAAAGATGGCGATAAATGTCAGTGAAAATGAACAAAGTTAAATGTTTCCGATCGGAATGTGTTGGCGTGTCGAAAGATTTCAAGAGTGACAAAGCTAATGCATAAAGAGAAACATAATGTAGCACGTACAATCAGTCTGACATGAAGCCTCTTCAGTGGCAACAGACGACGGTTCGAGCATCGCTTGAATGCAACTATCACATTCGTCAGCCACAAGCGCATCTGGCCCTTCCAAGCATCGTTTCATCTTCTTTGAAACAGGTATACCTAATGCTGTTCGACCGCCATTTCCTTCCACCTGCAGTATTTTGTTGCTTCACTTTATTTTCCTTATTATGAGCAAAACTCTCTCAACATCCATATAAATGAAATAAATCAATTTAAAGACAACAAGTTTCTTGCGTCGTAAAAAAATTCTAAGATTCAGTGAGGATTTATTGCGCTACATAAAGATGAGAAACAGTATGAGATGACTAACAACCTCACTGTCTGAACTGCCACCACCCGAACTTGCAGTTTCATCTTCACTCAAATATTCTATTGTGCCACTATCACGCCGTTCGTCTCCAACCTCAGCTAACGAATCCCATGTTTCCTCGGGTGATGTCAGTTCATTCTTATAAGAGGCATTCCTCCATACTGGACCACTTTTTTCTGCACTTAATTTCTGCAAATAGATCTACTCGCATGAGCTGAAGCATTATTATTCAAAACGTATGGTCTTCAATATGTATTATCTCTTCGAGTCACTCTTCGAGATCCGTTCAATACAAAGGTTTATCAATGGTTCCAGGAAAGGAAACAAACAAGTAAATACAATGTCAACTGTGGCATCATACGATCGCTTACGCTCACATTTCATAATAGTATATTCTCATTTCAGATCTGTAAGCGTTATGCCTAAAAAGATTACAATTTCGAGTACTAGTCATTGACTGATCAATAAGCAAAGACACATGAATGATGCAAATAACCTCTTCGAATTCAGTTTGTATGACCTTCTTTGATCTAGTATCTACAGCTGTCGGCTTCTGATCGTCTCCTTTAACAATTTGTTGCTCATCAGTAAGTTTATCCGTATCCGTATCAACTAAATTCGATAATAAGCTTTTCTTTTGGTGCGTTGCTTTCGATATCCTTTTGATAGCTTGTTGCTTCCGAAGTTCGTCCTCGTAGTTTTCATTAGCTATTTTATTGATTTCTCTCATCATTTGTGGATCGTTTTGAACGGCAAGTGCTGAGATTTTCTCAAGAATGGCTTTGGCACGAATCAGTTCACTTTGTTTATTTGCTATGTACGTTTTCCTTAAATAGAATAACAACTGGTTAATTCTCTCACTCGTTCATGGGTCATGAATCAATTGAAGCAATAAATTCATTTGTTTTCTTTACACAGCATTATCAACCATTTTAAAGGGAACTATCACACTAACAATCAAAACAAGATAGAGTTAATACCATCAAATTAAAACATCAGCTGTCTTATCAACGCTCCCATTTTGAGTACTAATTAATTCAAAACGATAATAAGTTGTGATAATCGCGAATAAATAAACAATCTTGCAAAATGGGATTCTCGACAAACTCACTTTTCAGCAGCAAGTTTCTCTTCCAACTTGGCAGCGAACCGTTCATTACCACTCAATACTGCTTCTTTCAACTCTCTAAATTCAACGTTTCTCCTCTGAAATAGTTGAAAACATTAATTTAGTTACAATAAGGATGAAGAATTGCTGAATAATTCAACGATCACATCTGAAATTACGAACTGATCAGAAAGACCCTAACATTGAAATTATGTTCAACTACTGGCATATTCTTGTCATCATTATCACCACTATTATCATTTAGAAAGTAATAAATGAATGTTATAAAATCGATTACCAGCTCATTAATAGCCTCTTCACTTGCGTTTGCATCGGGTGGTATCCAAGGTGTCTTATAAGGTGAATTAGATAGTAGAAGTTCAGCACGAAGATCTGAAATTAACTGAACTGATATAACTGCGCTGCTTAAAAAACACAACCACAAAGAAAACTTCGAGCGAGTGTTCATACTTCAACCTTAACGATTCTTTGACGTATGTTCCACAAATCAAACGCTAAAAAAGAACTGTTTTTCGGTGATCAAACACAACCCACTGATCACATTACCGGCTTGTTATCACCTGCCTCATCTATTCCACAAAGCAATTACTACTCCTACCAATCCAAACACAAATTTGGAATCGTGCACAGTCAATGTTTCAACAGTAACATACCGGTTCGTGCATCTGTGACAACCGAATCAATGTTCTGCTGCGATTCGACGGGTTTTATGGGTGGAGGGGGTGTCTGTGACCTGAAAAGATTCATAACATTACAGCCTTTCCGACCACACACGACGCAAAAAACAGCTTTGCTTCCAGTAATTCTTGACGGTAGTAAGACGAACTTTGACATTCAACAATGAAACATGATGAAATAAGCAGACAAAAATTGTAATACCAACTCACGTTCCCCTGAAGAAATTAAGTGAAAAGCCTGCGAAAAGTAAGCAAAAGAAAATGAGATGCGAACGAAATAAAATATTTATGCATTTCACATCAACTTCAAATGAATCACAAAACATTAATTACCTATTGTTTTGAGCGTTTCCATTCTTCTCCACATTGCTATTATCTCTTGCTTTAGTAATTGAGCTGCTTTTGTTGGTTGATTTACATGAGCCAGATTGCTTTAACGTTGCTGGCGTTCCAGAGATAGCTTGTTTTAAAGCATTTTGATTCAACGAATTCTCCTCTTCATTCTTACCAATTGGTGGTCCTGTAGAGATGATGATACCATATTTGAATAAGCAGATAATGAACGGAAAGACTGCACATCAACATTCATCGAATAAAGGCTACTTTCATTATTTCAAACCTTGCTCAGTTAGAAGGCTGCTTGAAGTGTTAGGCTCTAAGACAAAATTTCCACTGAAAAATGTCTCGCTAGATGACATTGAATGACTTTACAAAGTAGCAACCGTGAACCACACAAAGGCATTGTTAGTTAATGCAAGAAATTGCTAAACCCAAAGAGCAAGATGAATTAATTCACTTGAAACTTATCAATGCCGATCAACGCGATGACAAGGAATCGTTCGATTCAAAGATTCAAAAACATCTCATCAAGCAACCTTCGACTGGGCCACTATTTTACATTTACATTAACTAAAAAATGATAAAAGCGACGGAAAAGACCACCCACAAGGATCAAAGACCACAAAGTTTTACTTTCAACAAACAAGCTGATCTGATAAGGAGAACCACCATGTGAAATTTACCGGTATCAAGCAAACTCTACTGCGAGATGCGAACAATTCATTACATTCTCATATATCACTGATCAAAGATGACGAAACGAACCTTTCTCAATCCTCTCGATACTCTGCTTTAATTTCATCTCGATCAGCTTCGCTTTTTGAGCCTCTAATTCAGCTTTACAGTCTTGATCTCGATCCTTACAAAACTTCAGAGCACTTAGATTAACTTCAATTGCCTTGTCAATTAATCCCCTGCTACTTTGTATATCGGCTAAACGCATGTAGTCTTGAATCTTCTTTTCGAACTGATCATGCGTTCTGCAAACAAATATTATCGTTGCATATTTTCCCATGAACGGTCGGCAATAAACCACACAAATACCGATCTCGTATGAATAACACCTTCTAATTTCGTGAAACTGAACGTTGAAATATTTCAAAAATGACATTTAATATGATCATCGATTAGTGTCAATCAAAAGGTAACAAACTTACAGTATATTTTTTGGCGGTTCCGCCTTCACAGAAACTTCTAAAATCACTTTGTCTTCCTTTATATAACCTTGACTTTCATCCAATATATCCTAAAATATCTTATATCCACATCAACATGCTAAAAACATAATGTATTTGTACCTCATTTATTAAAAATTCAACAAATATTTTTGATAATACCAAAAACACTAATTTTGTTATGTTCAATGATAAATCGGTAGATTACAACGCAGTTAAAACCGACAGAATCTATCTGAATCATGAAGCCTCTTGCTACAACTATCAATCGAATTACCACAAGTATTCATACGTATGCAAATCAAGTTTTTTGAAACCCAACAAATAGTAGATGATTGAATGAAAAAAAAAACAAAGATTTATAGAATGATTGAATGAATGGAGTAAAGCATACAGCCCAAGTCATGAAGCAAGAATAACCCCAATCGTTTTCTTTGGCCGTATAAACATGATTGGTTTTCCTAGTGAAATGTTGAACGCCTTGTTTTTGAGAGATCAAACGCAGCTCGGCAGCTGCTTGGCACGACCACGAACTACAATTCAATGGACAATCAAATTATTTCATCAGGTGTGTTCTCGTTTCGTTAAGCTCATTTATCTGCTGGTAACATTCGAATATTCAATTGAACACACATCAATGTTAATGAGTGAACTGTGTAGATGATTATTCTGCCTGTCCTTATCTGAGTTCCGTCAACCACAAACAATCTAATGAACGCATATTTACACACTATCAACGGTTACATACCGTTTTCTCTTCCTTAACAAAATACAGTTGATTCACTCTTTGCAAATTGCTCTAATCTTTATAGCTTATTGGATTAAAGTCTCACATTCAATTACGAATTTTTTTATACCTATCAAAATTATTCTACCACTTCGTCAATGACAGTTCCATAGATATATGCGATCAATGGCTTTCTGATTAGATGACTTTATATCGAAACAGAGAATTAAATATTTTTGTGGTTGGAAACTTAGTTCACTAGGGATGACAGCATATTTGTTAGCAGCAAGATTTGCGAGCAACATTTCAATGAGGATAGTCTGAATACTGGGCACTACACATCACCTTGATTAAGGTATAATTTCTCAATTAATAATTAGTAAACTTTTGCATACTTTGATATTTTCACCGATACTGTCGCCTTGTTGTAATATTGACGACAAAGAATTACAATTTATCGTTATTTATTAACGATAAAGCATTTTATTTGTCCTTATTTGTTACTCCAAAAACAAATACAGATGTCTAGTTAATACCAACTGACAGTTGAATGCACATATTACTGTATACAATGGAGATATTTTCGTATGGATCGACTGGACATAATGGACAAATGAATCAAATGACATACTCAGAATATGCGTCAGGACAACACTGAAGAAAAAACCCGAGACATTTTTGCGTACCCTTCTTCTGTACAACGTGCTGCCTGGGCATAACCATTATTCGCCTGAAGTTGAATGAAACTTTGTGTTCCTAATAGCACAAACATTGTAAACAGAAAATTTGAGGAATACTGCATAAATTGAACGAGGGAATGAAGCAGCACTCACCACGGAACCGACTGTATCTTCTTACTAGGCCCTCTAACAGTATCAGACATATTTTTGAAGTTCTGAATCATAAGGCGTAAAGTACCGTCCGATGATGTGCTCGATGAGGCAGAACTCGTTTCTGCAGTCGATGCTGTTGCTACTGCAGTTGCTGAAAATACATTACTTCACTGTGCGCATTTGCAATGAATTTGGTGCACAAACTTTTAATCTCATCATAACCAAATAAAGCGCAACTAACGAATGGCACACTTAACCACTATGTAACACTTTTTAAAAATGAATTGTTGTCTTAACTTTTCATAAATTATGCTTCAATGTCCCTTGGCGACTCCGAGCATTTCAGTTTCTACGTATCATCGTTTGCTAATTTACCAGCTGACAGCAGGAATTTATTATATCACTATTATTACGTGTTCGGATGAAAGTTGCTGTCAGATGGCTAAACGTAGACGTATGGTCACAGAAGTTGCTGTTCGATAATAGTTTGCATTCAAAATGTAGAAATTTTCACATAAATTTTTCTATGCATTCGACTCGTACACCGAAAAAAAGTACATAACATAAAAGATTTTAGAAGGTGATGAATTCGAACTGCACAGCAGCACGATATGCTGGACAAGAATCAATACAGAACAGCAATAAGAAACAATTCGGAATTTGCTCTTTCTCAGAACTGATGTAATAAAAAGCGGTTTGCTGATGGCAGACTGCAAGAAACTGATCGAAACGGTAGAATTTGAACTGCAGATTTTCATTCGACGTAACTGATGCAGTGAAAATTTCTATTTCACGAGCCAGCATTAATAACAGATAGAAAATAATTGATTCACGAGTTCAATACTAGTGTACTCGAAATAAAAATAAAAATTTTGGTATATTTTAAAAAATTGTCAATGATTTTCGAACTCAACAGAGAAAAAGAACTCTGAATACAGCATAAAACTTGGTCGGTAAAACGATCGTTACATAGTGTAGTTGATCCATAAATCAAGGAAATAATCACATCGAGGAAACAATGCAATGGCGTAGAAGGAAACTTCCAATCAGCACTGAGAACCTTCAGGATTTTTTCTTCTCTATTTTAAATGGGTCAAAAAGAGAATGATTTGCGTTGCAGAGAACATTCACTAGCATTTACTACCTTTAGTGACAGGTTGTGCAAGAGTTGATCGAGAGCATTGCGAAGAGGGCATCCTTGGTATGATGGCGTCTTCACTTTCAGTTTGACAGGCAACGTTTACTTTGGTTTTCCTGAAAGCACAGCCATAATTATTCACTGTTTGCATCGAACACTTTTCCACTAAACTACCGTCCGGTAATCTGAATGATCCTTGCTCAACAATTTTGTCATTCAGTCCCTTTCATGACGCACATTAACAACACGAGCCAAATCAACCATGACAATGATTTGCTTTCAAACTATGATAACTGACAGCGCAATTCACAAAAAAAGTTCATCTATACGAAAATCATCAAAGCAGCTTATAGCGAAATAAGCAGTTGCAATAAACAGATTTTAGATTGATCACATCGAACACACCACTTGAATCCTAAAATATTACCGCCTTGACATGTATAAAGAATAGAAACCAATCAACTGGTTCTCGTCTGAAACTATTAGCGTTGCATGTCCATCGAATATTATTCATATGTTGTTCGGTGAATGCTCGTAAGAGTTCTTTTTTTTTGTTGTTCATAAATATGGTTCAGCACTACAGATCTCGTATGTATTCAGTGTATGAACATGAATGTTTGAGGGGAAAAAAATGTATCTTTCCAACACACACACACACACTCGATGAGTTAGCGACTGATGCACGTCATCAATTGGGAGAAATGAACATGAATGTCCAATAAACAGAAAAATATCATTTTCATGACCTTCTTCCACTCTAACGGCTAAGTATCAGAGAAAAGGAATGAATAATTCAGTATAGAGACTGAATTCTACCCTGCTTGAAACAAATCACAGATTCATTACTATCACCACACACATTCTCCGTCAAGAGATAAAACCACAATTTTTGTATTCATGGCGCTTCATGCTGACTGTCTCATTTTATATTTAATTATTTAAATGGAATCTTTCGTGTCAGGAAATTTGTTTCTCCCGAGAGGTTCACGGATTAAAAGTTTGCAATAAACCTGATTAAAAAGCTACATTGAAAGCATTTAATTAGGAATACTTGGGATATTATCACGTGTTAACGATGAAGAAGTTTCAGTTTAGGTTCATTATCTCTTTATGTATGTCGTATGCATGTTTGGGATGTACGGCACTGTTAACGTAGACTAAAAGAAGCTTGTCAATCGAATCTGTTTCAATTTTTTGAATCTATGACCGAACTAACGCCCTTCTTTCTAATCATAAAGTATGTTTAACACCTCGTTACCGCTCATTACCGAATTCGAAACATTACTTTTTAATACATCCAAATCAGATTTCTCACAAATTTCGCCAAGAATTTCAATCAACACAACTAGTAAAATGAGTTGCTTCCTTGAGTCTTTGAGAAACTGAATGAGATGTGTCTTATTATCATTTCCGAAGTGTTTTTGACTTCAAAAATTTTTAATGGAAATGCTCAACAAGTAGAATCTCTCAAACGAGATTTCTGTGATATGATAACATTGTCAGTTCGTTCGTACTCATGCAATATCCATTTGATCACAACGCCATCGTTCCAGTAAATTTCAGTGCTATATACTGCTGAACGACTACGACAAATAGTCGAAAAGAAAATGAGAAAATGAAGAATAGAAAAGATATACTGAAAAGCAACGCAACAACTGATCATGTTAAGGCCAGTGCACACCCATCTGAGCATTCAATCACATCAACATACTAACACTCTCTCATATTCACAGAGAATGTGCACTGCTCTGAATAAATCATTTCACAACAAGACACACAGATGTACAGAGATCCTCTTCGACAACAACTCACTTCGATCAGTTCTTTTTTTCGACCATGAGCTCTTGCTGACTCAACCTTTAACGTTGAATATAGTTCCTAACTTCCTGAATGGCTCAACTGTTTGCACTGTATCAATCGAGACCAATAATTAATAGATTTCATAAACGTGCATGTATATTCTACTAGAGTAGTAATTGATTCCATATAGCGGTATATATTCTATCGAGGTTTGTTTTAAGGACGTTAAATCTATTTTCGATTGCCTTCTTCTTCAATAAAACGTTGAGTTGCATGATGACATTGTTTCGTTCATATTTGTTAACTGACTAACTGACCGCTAATTCGCTCATTTAGCGAGCGACCTCTAATGCAATTATGCAACAAATTTCTTGTTCTATTGTCTTTACTGTCATGCCCAATCCATTTCACACCCTTTTCTACCCTAGGAAATCGCTTGCGATAGTGAAATCGATCAAAAAACTGTCTAAACGCTAAAAGTGATCGATCAGTATAAGAGCTAAGATGATTATCTACATACAATAAGAAGAGCATGTGAAACAGTAATGCGCAATCAATAATATTCTACAAGATATTTTCTAATTATTCACCTTAGAAACTGCACCTCATCTCGAACGAATTCCACAATCAACATAAAATCCCTTCTGAAATGAATGAGAAAAAATCAAGCAACACTTAGTCAACCCACGGAGCGTTTTTTTTTTCTTTCTAACAACAATAAGCACAATCAGATTCGTGAATTATGTAAACATGTTGATCTCCGCTTTCGAGAGCATTACAGATCACGATAAAAAGACTAAATATCTAAAAGCAATGATACAGAGTTTCAGCAATCCATTGTTGCCGGCATGATTCACTAGCACCAAAGCTTGGTGCGTTCCGTTTAAGGATCGCTTGAAATTTTAGTTCAGGGGTTCGCAACTTGTCTTTTGCGAAAGAAAGAAATGCAAAGGATCAATTTGGATTTTAAGTTTCATTGGTTGATGCATATAGCCATGTTTGACGCAACTCACTACCGCTACTGCCGTAGCTGCTCATAAGCATATTTAATCTCAACTATATAATAATTGTTACGTTCTGTCCGTTTTCTTCAAAGCAGCTGTTCTATGTCGCCACCTGTGGACCGAGTTGTGCAATTTGGCTGTATTCTGAGTCCAAATAGACGACTGACTTATTTGGAAGAAAGGCTCAGAATCGCTTTTTCAGAACAACAGATGATCTCCTTTTACAGCGAATTAAGATTTTATTATACAATAATACGAAAGGATATATATATATATATATATATATATATATCCTTTCGTATTATTGTATAA